GCGGTAACAGGCTAGCACTGCACTTTGGAGCGTTTGCCCCATGGGATGAGATGAACGTGGCAACGAAGGTGACGCTACGGAACGTAAGGAAGGTGACGCTACGCGGAGCTGGACAGTCAACGGAAAGGTCAAGGGATTAAAAGCAACGGAGGGAAACGCCTGGAGTACGTTGATGTCAAGAGAGCGTACTCGAAGTGTGTGGAGAACGAGATCTGCCCTGGCTTCGTCAACTCATCCCAAGAGTCGGCTGCGATGTTCCTCCAGAACGTCACAAAGATCAGCGAGAGGATGCCCGAGACCGAGACAGGTGCCGATAATCTGCACTACATCATAGACATGGTTGATCGTGCGTGCGAACTCTATCGGAACAACAAGATGGAGGAGTTCAACGCGCAGGTCAACGAGGTCAGGGACGAAATCAGCAAAGTCGTCATCCTGAATGATGAGACATGGGAAGGACTGAGGTGCCGGATATGTCCGTCATGTGCGACCGCGATCCCCACCTGCTTCTGCTTATGCCTGGAATGTGAGGCGCAACTGATCTCCACCGGGAGGTACTACATCCACGTCAACTCCGACGATGAGGAGGACAACCAAAACCCCAACGTCTCGGGAGATGCCAAGCGCGCACAGGAAGAAGCCAACCACGATGCGGCGGCACAGGAGGATGATGACGAAGCGGAGGAAGTTCCGGAAGAAGAAGACGACATGGACACGCAAGGATATACATCCGGCTATGCGTCAGAAGAGGATGACAGCGGTTGGTATTACCGCGACACTGATCTGACGTCACGGGATATCATAAACTCCCAGCGGATGGCGATCTGCCTTGATGAGCCGCGTGAGGCTCAGTACATGGCAGGGTTTATCGCACTCCAGATGTCCAAGATGTGGGGGATGTTCAGGAGAGGACGTTGAATGCCAGACTCGAGGGGAGGCCGGGCTGCCCTTACCACAATGACTTCAAGAGATACCCCAACATCACCGAGCACGATCAGGAAGGTATACTTTTGCCATCAACAGCACGAAGATTTCTCAATCGGAGAATGTTCGGACAAGAGCCTTCCGATCGGTTGAGGAGCGTGAAGAATATATTCGTATGATGGTGTGCAAATGCGAGGGACTATACACATTCTACAAGCTGTGGATTGCAGCGAGAATCCTCGATGTCACCAAGGACGAAATGAAGCTCCTGGTCAAGGACCGAGTGCACCCGGTGGGTGATATTATTTTCAGATGCTTTTCACTGGCTTTCAACTGTAAGTATATATCATTCGTGAGGGATGGCCTGAACCTTGGCAAACATGGTTACACGGTCAACGTGAGCGCCATCATCTCGGCCGTCGACCCGAACAAGTGCGACACACCTCTGCTGGATTGGTGCCTTCGGAAAGGGCACTGGTTACCAGAGGATACAACAAGAAGTGTGTCCGGGCACGAGAAGCCCAGAAGAACTTGGACGAGGAGTTCCGTCGACGCACTCACAGACTGTCCATTGGGGACAGGTATGCGCAGTGAAGATGCTGATTGCGGCACGATGTGGGTTAGTCCCCATCCGTTGCTTGCGTCTCATCGACACCATTGCGATGGAACGACTTTACGTCATGATATGATTTCATGCGTCCAAGATGAATGGATGTGTATATGGTTACATATTCCGACGACTATGACATTCTGGATATCATGGATGGATGGAACTATTACCTCATGGATGATTTCTTTTCGTATATATTGTTCATGGTATCTGGAATGGCTATGATTTGCATTGGTTGCTCACCGATATTTCTTTGCCGGAGATATGCAGATTGCTTACGAGCAGGCGCCTCTGTTGGACTCTTATGGCCAACCCATTTTCTATGGATGACGGCTGCGCGATGCGCAAATGCGGCAGCTGGGATGTTCACTGGTGGTCAAATGACGTGACAATTGTGTATTGTATACACCTGCATATGGGAGTGCGCTTCGATTGGTGGATGAATGTTTCACTTTTCATACAATCGAACCCGGCATGTTTCACAACGAATGAACGGTGTAGCGATAGCAAGTAAAAGAATGCACGACACGATTTCGTAGCTGAAGCCGTGGCCAGTGGAACGTTTTGTGGTGTTTGGACCGCATGATGAACAATGCGACCCAAATGGGGGATGTTAAAACCCTCTAGGCCCCGTGCCTAAATTGGGAAGCAGTTCTGAGGTCTGTGTTAGTGTTGCTTACCAAGTTCCATTGATCGCCATTTGGCTCAAGACACAATTGAGGTTCAAGATCTGATGTGTAGTTGCATTCATACGTGATCGGCATTGAGAGCGGAAAACACTTCGCTTACGCTGCATTTGTCAGGACCACTGTTGTAATTATCATTCCTTCCCCCTTACAACGTTTACACGGGTTCGGCTATAACGGCATCGTCCGTATACACCTTTCTACGTGGTTGGTGTTACAGCTGGAGGGTTCGGTGCATAGCGTCCCACGGGACGTCACCTTGCCGTCTCTTGACATTGTTGTTGTTGTTGTTGTTGTTGTTGTTGTTGTTGTTGTTGTTGTTGTTGTTGTTGTGGTCGTCGTCGTCGTCGTCGTCGTCGTCGTTATTGTTGTTGTTGCTGCTGCTGGCGTTGTTGTGGTTGTTTGTTGTTGGTGGTAGTAGTAGTACTACTACTAGAAGTAGCAGCAGTAACTGTAGTAGAAGTCGTAGTAGCAACCGTAGTAGCAACCGTAGTAG